TTCTCTTCTCTTCTCTTCTCTTCTCTTCTCTTCTCTTCTCTTCTCTTTCTTTTTTTTTCTGTACAGAAATACTTTATTTCAACTTCCAGCTTAAGGAATGTACGCAGACCCAGGAGAAAAGAAGCAGTCCAGCATTGTGGGCTCGGCTGCGGATTCGATGGGGGATAATACTGCAGCAGCAGCACTTGTGTGAGGGCTGCGTGCTGAGCATCCCTAGGTGTCACCCTCGAGTTGAATTTAGCTTTGTGGTCTCGCACGCTTGTCAGTTTTCATTTAAAATCATTAATCTTCCATTCATCTCCCCACCTCCTTTATTTTCTTGCACGTAACGCGCAGGGGATCTCTTGGATCAGGGGAGCATCATCTGTGTGCATAAATATTTTTCTTGCCTTAAAGCAGGATCAGAATTGGGTCAAATAGAAATACCTAAAACTTGTCACGCCACCAATTTCTGTGCTGGGTGCTCACTGGGGAAAGAGGAAAGGACAAAAAAAGCTTAAAAAAATGGTTTCCTTCTGAAATGGTGGGTTGGTTTTCCAGTTTAATTCAGTGCTTTCTGGCACAGTCTCTCCATCACATCAAATGAAGAGGAGAAACACTATTCCACAGGAAAAAAAAAAGAAAGCACCACTTAAAAAAGATAATTTTAGGCTGGTTTGCTCATCCCTGTTGGTTCAAAGCCCTTTTCTGTACTGTATTCCTCCTCACTGGAGAGTGGCTTGTTTAAGTGAAGGATGTTCCCATGTGTTTGCTGCAAAACAGGATCCTGGCATGTTCGAATCAATTAACTTAGAAGAAAGAAAGAAAGTTACTCCAGATCCTTTATTAAAGAAAGGTGTAATTAATGACTTCAGATTAATTAAAAACGTTTGCTCTGAAAGTGGCACTGGGCTCTGATCTGGTACTTTGTAACCGCACAGAAAGTGCTGTTCAGCAGAGAGCAGGGAGAGCAAGACTGCCCGGTATCTCTGCAGAACCTCCCAAAAGAAACCTGCCATTTTCCTATTCTAAAGTATTCTGCACTGCCATAATCCCATCATATAAAACAAATTCCTCAATTCTTTCATTTCAAAAGAAAATGGTCGTTCCTCAAGGACTGAAGTCTCTAAGGGGGAATAGGCTGACATTACAAATTTCATTTTGGATGAATTAGTTGCTATTTTATTTTAACCAAATGGCCTCAGATAGCTGTCAAAGAAACTGCTTCCCATCATTTCACTTTCCAGTTTAGTGGAAAATTTCCAATCTGTCATGCATGGCACAAACCAGTCAGAACTGAAAGCATCAAAGGATTCACAGTCCTTTTTGGAATATTTCTTTGGAAGGCCTGGATGTAGTTGAGCTGTGCTACTTTTTTTGCCCTTCATTAAGCTAACATTCTTTCAGAGAGTAGGATGTATTTTTTAATTAGTTCAAATGTTAAAAAATTGTTTTTATTACGGCGTATTGACCTTTCTTTTAATTAATTCTTTAATTAATTCATGCAGTGATGCAAGTGCTGGGACAGCCTGGATTCACAAGCAATCTCTTGGCAGCCCATTCTGAGCAGAGCATCTCAACTTCCTCTCCTCCTGCTTCTAAGGTTATTTCTAGCTCAGTGCAGAAAAGTGAAATGAGACCCATCATCAGAACAAAACTTCTTTTTTCGGTTGCTGGCACAATTTTCAACATATAATTTGTTATATATATATAGATAGATACAGATATTTGATTTTCCTTTTTGCCCGCTGTTAGAGCACAAGCAATTCCAAACTGTGGTGAATCTCTCTCTCTGCTGTATCTACTCAGACCTTTTAGCCTCTAAATTAATTTTCATATTTCTTGTGTCTGGATAGAAGTCACCACATAGAGGTGGGGAAACCAATGTGCATTTTGTCTGTACCTGCTAAGCAGTGCCTGTCGGACGTGTGGTAAGGTGCCAGGAATGCCTTCCTGATAATTCACTCTTCCAATTGCTAGATTTTCCCCTCCAATACAGATCACAAAGGCATAGGTTAAAGTGCTGCTGATTTTTACAGCAATCTTGTGAGAGAACCTGCAGGTGTGTTTGTGCTTGGATCCAACACGCATGTATTTGTGCTGGAGTTTGAAGATGTATGCTGATGGTGACTGCTGTGCACAGAGATATGGCTGTGAAGATCAAGGTTTGTGTTTGCAATTCTTTGGGCAGACTTTTTTTCACTGAGTGTGGAATTTGCTTTGGTAAGGAATGTGTTGGCTGTTCAGAGAGATGCACCGTGCAGCAGTAGATCAGAACGTTGGCGTTCATGGCTCAGCAACTTCAGGAAGCCCCTGGAACGTAAATATCAGTTCAAGAAAAGCAAACAACTTCTACTTTTTTGTCCTTTCACAGAGCTGCTGTAAGGAAGTAATGTTTCTTTCAGTTCTCAGCACAAAAGGAAGTAAGGCTTAATAAAAACTGTGGGCTGCAAGATTTCATGAGAGAGGCAGAGAAAACAGAGGAGAGTGGTGCTGGGGAAAAGCAGGTGTGGTTAATGAACAGTTTGTAACCCAATGGGATGCTGGTGAAACAAAGAGAATCTCCACAGCCATGGATAACACCAGAACACAAGATGCTTTTTCACAGGTAAAGGCAGAAGCGGTGATGGCTCGTGTGGAAGTGCTCTCTTGTGCATAATGGATGAGATTTGTATTTTGTTGGTAGGAAATCTGTAGTGATTGCTCAGTGTAACTGATTATGATGTGGTTTGAGCTTAGGCTGGTTTAATAGCTTGGAAAGTGTTTGTGGATGGTGGGTACAAAACAGTGTGCTTTTGGACTGGGCACATGTGAAACGTGCAAGGGTTTTCTGATGTGAAAAGGGGACAAAGGGAGAAAACCAGTCTCTCTGCTGCAGTTAGAGAGGATTTATTAATACTGTATATTCTCTGCACTAAGAATTTCCATAAGATAATTGGAGAGTGGGAAAAAAGTGTTTTGCATTGTAGGTAAAAGCAGTTTTTGATAATCATATTGGTATTTGATAAGATTGATATGCTAGAACTGAAAATACATCAGATTGCAGCACTGCTGAATTTGTCACAGTGTTCCTGCATGATTTATAGTCTCTGTAGCATTCTGCTTGTTGCAATACTTGTATGTATGAAAGTCTGCTACCTGGTGAAATAAGTGGTGGAAAGTTCTCCTTTCAATGGGAAGACTGATAGCACATACTGGTGGAAAGTCCCTGGGGTAAAGAGCAATTGGTGGAAGGAATGTGTTACGTGAAGGCTGAAGGTGATGGAGTGCTTGGTTCTGAGCAAGTTCCTGTGTGCTTTGAGAAGAACGGGAAAGCTGAAGAGAATCCTGTCCTGTTTGTACAATCCTACTTTTCACTGAGAAGTGTGAGATGTTCAGGGAAAGATTTGCGAGATGAGGCTTGAGAAAAACCCAGGGCATAAATGGCATAAATGAGAACAAAGCCTTTTTATTGCTCCCGGGGCTCTCACAGAGGAAAAAGGGCACAGGCCAAGTTTCTGCATTTGGTTCCCTCCCTGCAGCATCAACGTGGCTTTGGAAGATTTTGTAGAGGGCAGTGCAATGGGTCCTGCAAAGACTGAGTCATGTAGCTTGACAGATATTAGTGGTTTCACCTGAAGTAATAACAACTGAAATGCAATAGAATTGCATGTCCTGTCTTGCACTGCTTGTTATACTGACATGCAGAGGGACTGGGGTCTATCTGGAGAAGCTGTTGGTGACAGTGGGGTTGAAAGGACACAGATCCAGTCCTTTCCTCACTGTCTACATACCCACGTATTTATCCTTTAGCACTCATGTGCTAAGCACAGTCTGAGGTGCAGCTTACAAATCATTGCTTTTGTTTCTTACTTCAAGTACTGCTGGGGGGATCAGAGCAGAAAATGGCCAAATATTTGCTACCAGAAAGGGCTCACATCAGTGAGAATCACAGAACAGGAAACCATAACCAGGTGTTGCTACTTTTTCCTTTCCTTCCCTCCACAGTGGTTCTACGTTCACCAAAATATTTGCAAAGCCGAACTGAGCCTGAGAAAAACATCTTGAAGGGTTTTTTTTTGTGAAACCTTTTTAAAACTTGATTATACATCTCCCCTGAGACTTTTCATCTAAGTCTTCTGAGGGCTGATAGTTCCATGGAACAGTTGTCAGCCCTTTAGATTTTCCTCCTCACTTTGTTTTTATCAACCACCTTAAAGTTCTTCATCCCCACGGCTTTCCATCCAATTTGCGTTAGAATTTTAATTAAGGGCCGTCTCTCTTAGACGATGTTTTCTTTTTCAGGTCTTTTCTAAGGTGGCTTAAAGCAGATTTTCACTGGCTATATACATACATATTTGTCAACAGATCAATTCCATTTAGATAAGGATTCTGTATCTTCTGATCTATTTATTCATAGACATGTACACAGGCTCAGGACGTGCTCCTGTAGCTTTGGGGATGGGCTATTTTTATTGGACAACAAAAAGGAAATCTGATTTTCTCTGGACCTTGTAGGTCCTTGAAATCCGCTCCTTGCCATGGCAGTGTTGGTTGGAGCAGAGGATTTGCAAGGCAGTTCAGCGTCCTTGGTTCTGTTATTTTGAATTAAATGCAGGTTCTGCAGAACTGAGTGTTGAGATGTGCCAGTTTGTGTTGCATGCTGTACTGCATGCATTTCACTCCATATATTCATATTCTAGATTCCTACACATTTTTGAGGCTAGCTCTTTAGGATTTTTTTTTGTTAGGGTACTTAATCACTAATGCATAATATAATAAATTGAATTAAAGTATGTTTGAGCTCCTTTATAACCTACCGAAAGTGGCAGAATTTCCATTTTTGTCTGGAAATCAAGCTACTATTTGATTAATACCTTCCTTGAATAAATGTTGACAGATATTATTCAGACAGCTCTAGATCTGAACAAATAATGCAGAACATTATTACAGATGCATAATTTATTTGATGGATAGCAGCGCTGTATGACAAATAATATTAGTGTGTCGCTATGACTGGCTACAAAAGAAGGTATTGCCACACATAAATGTCACATCAGTCATCTTTATTGATACTGCGTGGAAATTACAAGTGAAGGTTTTTTTGGATAACCCCAGTTATCATAGAATCACGGAACGGCCCTGGTTGGAAGGGACCTCAAGGACCATGAATCTCCAACCCCCCTGCTACATGCAGGGCCACCAACCTCCACATTTAATACCAGACCAGGTTGCCCCATCCAACCTGGCCTTGAACACCTCCAGGGATGGACGGGGCATCCACAGCCTCTTTGGGCAGCTGTTCCAGCAATAAGAGGCCTGTTCCAGTTGCAAGAGACAGCCACCCCCCTGCAAACACATGGGACCACATGGTACATTTTGGGCCAAGTTCGAATGTGGTGAAAGTGAATCTGTAAGGCGATGAAAGTCTGAGCTGGAACTCTTAAGGCAACCTAGATTGCGTCTGCTGTCTTTACAATCGTGTAAGTGACACGATCAGCATGCAGGCAGTGTTCTACATGGGATTGTAAAGAAGGCAAAATGTCCCCAATAAAGTAAACCAGTGCCTTTGATTTAAATAGAAAAAAAAAAAAAAAGCAACCTGTTTTCTTTAGAATCACATCTCAGAGAAGGAAACTGCTGCTTGAAATTTCATAAGAGATCCATTACTGCATCATATCCTGGCACTTATTAAGTTTCTCCACTGTATTTGGTTTGCAAAAGTGATGTGTGCTATAGCTGGAAGGCACTAAGTGAGCAGAAAGCCCTCAGAGGCTTTACCTCTGAGCCTCTTCAACCTGCTTTTGTAGATGAAAACCAAAATCTGTTATTAAATTCTACGTTTAAAAACCTAAACTTCAAAATGAATGAAAATATCACTATGCTGGATCAAAAATACATCAGGCATGTGAGTTGAAGCTGCATGTTTCTTGTGTGGACAAACGGCTTTCAGTCAGATGAATGCCAAGAAATTCATGAAATCTCTGTAAAGAAATACACACAGTCATGACTTGGATCTCCCTCCTCGTTCTGAGTCCCCTTGGCTCTTGGAGGGCTGATGTTGGCAGTGCTGATGGAGTGCTGCTTCTGTGCAGTGCAGACAAGGGCCCTCAGTGCAGCAGCAGCCACAGCTGGTTTGGCTCTTACTCCTTGTAACAACCAGAGCAGGCTGTTTCACAACGTTAATGTTTAATAAGGACAAGTGTAATGACTGCTTAGCAATAGCAATGAAAAGCTCGACTGGGTTAGAATGGAAACATCTCCTCGTTTGTACCGAGAGCAGGATTTCTGCATGACTTGGCTGTGCTGTCACGGGAAGTGATAGAGCTCAGTGCATGTTAGGTGTGACCTCCACCTAAGTAAACTCACAACAAGGTCTCACTGAGTCCTGTGTGTATGTAGCTGATTGACAGCATTGCATCTCCATGGGTGTTTGAGTCTTCCTGCAATTCCTTAGATTACTACTGTCATATCATTGAGATTCGGGTAGTATGGTCCATGGAATAAGAGTAAGCTGAGCAAAAATCACATAGCACACATTCCTCTATAGGTAACAGAGAAAAAAGGTAGGTCTTACGATGTGCTGAATTGCCACCTACAGGCGTCCAGGGGTCTCTGCTGGCTGCTCAGGAGTCATAGTGGCCCTCTGGTCAGCTGGGGGAGGTGTGTATGTGCACAGCAGGGTATCAGCTTGTCCTATGCCTGAGTGGTTTCCCATGCTCTGCACGACTTCTGCAGATCTGTTCAATGAGCTGTAAATGACTCCTCACCGCGTGGCTTTAACCCCACTTTCTCGGCTGATGCTCGGGAGATTTGGAGACCTTTCTCAAGTCTTTACACAAATATATGCTGTGGCATTCAGACTACCTGCAGCACGTTCCCCTTAGGGCCTCCCTGAGGAGAGGAGTGGCAGGAAGACCCAGAAGGGGTCAGTTAAGTACTGCAGGGGCAGCTGCCCAAGAATAAGCTAGAAATCTCTTATCTTGCCACTGAACACATTTCATACTGTATCTGGGCCAAAAATATGAACACTTGACCCTGCAGAGTAATGGGTGTGCAAACAATTCCTGGAGCCCCACACTCTTCCTGCAATTGTGGGCACTGATTTTTCTTTCAAAGCAGCTGAGTGGCCACGCTGAATTTTGGGTGAGTGATGAAAATTTAATCTATATTAAACAAACTACTTTAACCTGGCAGGCAAAAGAATATATTGTCAGTGCAATCCCAGGTATTTCCTTAACGTGAATGTTTTATAACAAAGAAGTAATTTTCCTTTTCTTAGCCTTGTTTTTTTCAGTCTAACCTCGCATAAAAGCGTTCTGTTTGGTTGCACCAGTCACCTTCTATTAGGCAATACGACACGATCTGACTTGGTGGCATTTTGGTGGATAATTTGACAAAACTTACTTCTTTGCAACAGAAAAAAAAACATCGAAAATGAACACAAAAATGAGCATTATAAAACTTGCGACGAGCTTAAAGAAAAGCCCTGCAGGCACAGAGCCGTAAAGGTCAGGATCTGTTGCTCGAGTCTCTCCACACGTAAAATACCGCGCTAACACGTGGCTGCCAAAACCCTGAGCAGGCCAGGCAGATCTCTGACAAGCAATTCTGACTGATCTCATAAGCTGAAATGTGCCTCCTTTATTTTTACCTCTGTCATCTTTTGATGTCCCCCCCGCCGCCCCCCATCACTTACAGATGTGCAGAGGGAGCTAACAGAGACAGTGAAACCACAACAGTGAAACTGTTGAAAATAGCCTGTACCAAGCACTGTGCTTTGTGAGCTCTCTGGGGAGTGCATTAACTGCCAGCAGTCACACTGAATAACCCACCTTCCCGAATCTGCCATATGCAAAAGGACTTACTTCACTTTTGCAAGCATTTATCTTCATGTATTATTAACAAAATTAAAAGATGTTAAGCAGAACTTCATCCTAGTGTGAAGGAGACCTTGGTGAACGGCAGCAGAATGAAGAGATGAATATTTTGTAGAGCTAAGAATGCGCTCATTTCGGCAAATTGTACGTGATAAGAAAAACCTTTTGAGAATTTTCAACAACACAAAGCAGAAACAGAGACATTACAAGAGAATGTCAGTGTTTGGGGCGTGTTGTGGCAAGGTTCCTTAGTCCAGGATAGAATATTTGCCAGAAAGATGGGCCTTGAAGTGCCCAGTGCCCAGTGCACTGCAGAATGGAGCTTGCTTGCCAGAGGACAGCTTGGAAACTGAAATTGCTGTGTCTTTTTGTCTTCTTAGGAATCATTCCCAAAGATACACACAATATGTTGTGTTGTTGAGCATCACAGTGAAATTCAGGTGAAAATTGTGCTCCTCCATTACAGTACTTGTGTGCTGAAGTGAAGGAGGTGAATTCTTCTCTTGTTTAGTTGAATCTGATCATGTCTTTTTTGACACAGGGCTATGATGTTCTCTTTGTGTTATCATTTTCATTGTGGTGCAAAGTCTTTGAGTGCTTTATCTTACAAAAGAGTCCAATGGTGGCAGAAAATACCATTCACCTTTCTGCCAGGAATTGCAGTCCTGTATGAATAGGATCTTGCACTTTGAAGCTGGCAGAATTTAGCCCTAAGGAAACCATATTTTCCAACTCGCATATATATCCACATTCTTGTTAGCTTACACAGAGCCTGTCCAATAGGGAAACATCTTGTTAAGATTTAATCATATACAGTGTAGGTGTGGAGCAAATATTTGGCCTGTTAAAATTCAGATACAGAATGTGGAGGTAACTGTAGAAACCTTGTGTCCCTCAGCATGCACGAAGGAATTAACAAACTGCTTTTTGGCTTTCCTAACTGTTCACATTGCAATTTGCTGCCAGGAGCTATGCCATAAGTTACCTTGATATTAGCAGTGAAAATTCCGAGGCTTTAAAAACAAAATATTTCTCCTTTACTCCTGGTTTTATCTGTAGGCTGTAAAATCATTCAGATTGATCAGAAACAGGTTCACATGCTGGAAATCGGGTAAGTTGAACTGTGTTTGTTGTGGTGCAGCTGGGAAAAGGAGAACAGAACGTGGACTGATGAGTCACTGATGGCAGTGGTGGTTTTTACATCACCCACCAGACTTGTGGCAGTACCTGGATGGGTGCAGAGGACCTTGTTTGGCTCCAAGGCTGAGGCAGAGAGCTCTGTGCTTGTGGAGCTCTAGATATAGGCAAAGTGTAGGACAGGCAGGGCTGTGTGCCACGGAGCTGCCTCCATTTCAGTCATCCCCTCATCCTGGCAGAAGGGGGGGCAGGGAAGACCTTTTCCCTGTTCTTGCTTCAAAAAGAAAGGGGAAGCATAATGTCTGCTTGTTAATATATTTAGATAAGTTCATGTGATGGCTGTACCTGGTAGTAGATATCAATTTCTCCCCTTTTCACCTTTCTAATTTCTAATCAGAATTTCTAATGGTCTGATTTTGTTTTCATGTTCTTTGCGTACAGTCCTTTATGCTAAGGACACTGAGACACTGGCAAGCATGCAAAATTGATGTTTTCACTTCTTGCCACATTTTCTAACTCAGATTTCCTCCTGGCAGTTTTGTCTCCAGATATTACCACCCATCCTCTAAAATCGTATAGGCCTCTGGGTATTTGGTATTTTGTGGATTCTCACCAGGTTTCAAAGGAAGATTATATTTACTGGGTAGGTTGTGGATGTAAAGCGCGAGCGAAATTGTAACTTTATGGCAGATGGTGCAGCTGTGACTATCACAAGCAGTCTGTGTCCTCAACAGCCAAATGAAAACACAGTCTCTAAATACATCTGATCGACTTTTTTCCAGTTAAGCCAGGAAAAAATCCTCAAAATCATGAACATGGTGAAAAACAAAGAAGTGAGCATTGAAGGAGCTTTGCATTTGGCACAGAAAGAAGTGTACACCGATAAGGTAAGGTCACTCTTATATTTATTTTGCAAGCCATTCAGATGTACAAGCATGTTCTGGAAAGCCTGGATGAATGTTAGGAGCATGTCTGTCCTGCTTGCAAAGCTGCAATCTCCCTTTGTGCAAACACTGCAGTTTATGACCAAATATGTCTGGCTAAAATCTGCTGCTGCAGTCAGGTTAGCTGTGTTCTATCCTGTGGATGTCTCTTGTAGGTGCTGTGGGTGCATTCATGCCATTACGTGGATGAAATAGTTTGAATCTACACCAGAAGTGTCCACAGGAGCTTTATTATCCCCTGAATTATAGTTCTGTACATTGATAAATCAGCCCTCTGTTTCTCTACTTATTCTCAGTACAGCATCTCTCTGGTTGCAATCTCTCTCCATCATCACACCACAGAAGGGTCAGCTGAGAACTCTTTGCAGAACTTTTCATTATTTCCTTTTCTAGCCCGTGTTTCTGAGCCACCCTCCTATGGGATCATCTCCTGCAAGGAGTCAAATCTTAGGATTTTTTTGCACAGTAGAAACTAGTGGTGATTTTGAGATAAATTTGGTGATTTTTGAAATTTTTGGAAATCTCTAAACTGCTCTTTAACTTCTTGGCTGGAAAGAAGTAGAAAGAGAAGCAAAACCGAATACAGATAAAGAAGTGGCTGCATTTTACAAAAAGGCAACAAAAACGTTAAGCTCAGTGGTGTAGAACTATGTGGGCATATCTTCTCAGGATAAGAAGAGGAAGGGTTCCTTTTCTATGTCTGCTGCTTTGATGTTTTTGTGATGATTAATCACAAGAAATAAACGCATTTTTATGTGTCTGACTCATAGCCCTCTTGTCATTGTGTTTTCCTGAAGATTAGAATTGTAGTCCCCATCCAAGCAAACCAGACAGCTAGTGCAAGAGATCAGATAACAAACTGGGTAACCCTCACACAATGGCAAGGAACAAAGATCTGCCATTTCAGTGCACCACATTTGAGGGCATGTAAATAAGTTTCTTTAAATCACAGACTGCCTTTCTTTGCTACTGCATCCAATAAATGGCTTACAGTCATGTATTTGGAAATGTCCCTAGTGCAACTGCATGCACGCTTTTCTTCTTCATCTTCCTCTTCTCTGCTCTCTTTTTTATTTTCCACCCAAATCTGTGATCTCTTCATTAGTTCAGCAGGAGCTGTGGGTATTTTTGTTTGTGAAATCAGACCAGGAGGATGCTTCCATCAGTCTCCACATGGAGCACTTCTACAAAGCCTGCTTTGAGCAATGCTCACTGATGGAGATTTCACCTGACAACATGATTGTATTTGAGTGGACAAAAATAATAGAGTATGGACCTCGTGCTGATTTCTGTTCTGCTTTTTCAGGACTCACAGGATTTGCTAACCGGCTCGCTGTTTAACTACAGTATCTACAAATACAAACACTATCGGTGGCAGAAGCGAATTTTGCAGGTAATGCAAATAATTCATACTTCTGGAGAAATATCTCCAAAAGAGATGCCATCCATCTTGTGTTCCTGCACCAGGGCCTCTGCAGGTGGGAACTGGAGAGGCTTCATCGACTTCAGTGCAGTCGTCCACTTAACTTCATTCCAGTTGAAGATGCAAAGCATTGTGTAAAGGATTTAATTTTAAAATAGCACTTAATTTGGTGTAGATATTTGCTCATCACAGACTGCATAGTATGCGTACTTCACAAATTACACCCTTCTCTTCTAGCAGGGTTATGTGACAAGACTAGCAAAAGGAGGATCTTCAGGTCTGCATTTAAAGCTTCTGATAGGGCTTTTAAGGAAACATGCAGTTTTGATCCTAAATCTGTACCTCTCTGGTGTATGGAGAGAGGACTGCAGTTTTCAGAGCTGACAAGTCGGGCTGTGTGGGGAGCACTGCATTTCCTGGTCTGGCTGTTTGCTCAAATGCAAACACACCTGGGAAGGTGAATACCTTGCTGACTGACTCTGCTCTCAGGATTTTTAGTTTTACTGTGTTGATGACTATCTTTCCACAGTTCTGACAAGCAGACTTTCTGTTTTATTGCTTCACTGAGGCTGTGTGAAGCATAGTAAAACATTTTTACAGGGAAAGTTTCATTTGGCAGACTGTGCATTTCATCTCTCTTTGCTCTGTCCTGTGAGTTCCTTTCTTCTTCTTTTTGTTTATTTCGACATTATGTACCTTCATATGAATGTGCTAAATGGTGGTTTTTTTCTTTTTTACTACATCTCAGCTTTGAAAGCATAATATTATTTCTTGCAATATCCACAAATGTTTAGAGCTAGAAGATGACTTGGTTAGATGTAAGCTGATGGAAAACTGGAGGAAGCTGTAATAGCCATGGAGCGTGTCATTTTGGAAACTTGGAGTAGTTTAATTGCAGTCCTTTAGTTAACCAGCAGCCTTGAAAAGTCAGAGATAATAACAAGCATGGTGCTGCTTTGGAGGTTTCCAAAGATAATGGAAATGGAAATGAGGACAAGGCACTAGCATTGGGTTAGCATGGTCTGCATGATGTGAATGAAAGATACTGGAAATTATTCATGACCACAGGTAAATGTCTGACTTGGGCAAGATCTGAATTTCTCCTCTGTAGGCCAGATGTGCTGGTGCAAAGCACAGAGATAATGTTCACATCTTATTGATGCACAGAGCTGTTTCTGCTCAGCAGGGATGACCACACAGAAAAGATACTGGATCTGTATCAACAAAGCTGCACAGTGGAGTGATGATAATCTTATTTAAACAACGAATTTTTAATTGTTATAGCTGTGGCAGCAAAAAAACCCCCACTTTATTGGCTAATAATATTGTTCCAACTCTGAATGCATGTGTATGTACAGAAGCACAGGCAAAAATCTTGTTAGATCAGATCTCATAACAGTAATGTTTGTGTCAGAAGGTAATCTCCAAAGATTGCCCTGTTTGCCAGCTTTTGTAACAACAGCTCGACACAGAAGCTGTTGTTACAAAAATAAGCACCTTCACATCATTGAATGGGTCAGTAAGTGAGTCTCTGCTCAGATGCTACCAGTCGGGAAGCTTTTGCACTGGGGTTTATAAGGCAAGGAGAATTTACAAATAAATAGTTCAAAGTGATAAATTGATGTATATTCATCAAATGAAATAGGGAAACACAGTTACAGTGAGTATCTGTTTTGTAAATAAAAGAAATACAGTGCATTATCTCGGTAAGGCAATGCCATTTTTTATTCTAATCATTGGCAAAACAGCTATGTATGCTGGGCTAGTCCATGGCTTGCATGCCCTTGTGTGATAATACTTGGGATGACCTCTTCTCTTTCCAATGAAGAGAAGCAATGGAATCAAGTAATGAGAACTTTCTATTCCAGATTGATTTCAACACAAAGACAATTTTTAACATTGAAAAAGGAATTATTAAGAAGCAGTTCCCTTTCTCACAAGTCAAATCCTGTGAAGATGCTGAAAGAAGACGTTTCAGCATTGTGTTTCATGGGAGACAAGACTATGAGCTGGAAGCAGTGTCTCTTGATGACAAAAGGAAGGTAAGGTTTTTACACTGCCAGAGATAGATTGCTATAAATAACAGCTAATATTATGCTAGCACCTGGCAGGATCCAGACATTAATGGGAATTGTGTTGTGCATTGTGCAATCAAAGAAGTAGCATGTCTTTATTCTATAGATGGTGGTACATAGAACAAAGGAAATGTGAGTTCAGGATAAAGTTTGGCCATTGAAACTGCAGATGTACGGCCAGCCCAGGATGTGGGATGAAAACGGATGCATTTTTTTCAACACTTTGGCTGCAGTGGGTTTGAGACTGCAGTAAATTGAGGAAACAGAACTGATCCATACACAGTTGAATTTTAATTGATGTTTTCTGAGAAGTTTCATTTTGAGGTTTCAACTCCTTTAAATGTTCCAAGTAATTTGTGTAATTAAGTTCAATTGAGACTGGAGAAAACGAAGGGGTGAAATGAACATCAGCCTTCTGCACCAAGTGCAGGTGTTGCCTGTGCTTGGAGGTGAGCAACTCTTGGAGTTCATTTCATCCCACTGCTGAAGAACTGAAGTCATCTGCACGGTTCTGGTCAGGACTCTTAAATGCATGAAAGAGTTTGTGCCCAAGCTGCTGATGTAACCTACTTGTAAGAAGCTTTTTGCTGAGGGATTTGTCCTTTGGGAAGCTCAGAGCTCAACACGGGCAGGAACTTGCATTCCAGATGAATGGCACCTTATGGTTGATCAGATTAATTTTCAAAATAGATTAAATCTAGCAGAAGGACTTAAAAAGGGCACTTGTTCTATAGCAGTAGCACTCAGATAAGGCACTGTATAACCAGAGGGCTTTAAATTCATACTCGCTTTTATCCATGTAACTTTCAGACATAGGCATGCTTTCACTTTTCTGCTGGGTTCATTCCAGATTCCACAATAAATCAGTCAGGTACTCCTTGGGCTGGCACTGAGCTTAACAGTCTAGATTGCCTTAGATTGCTTTGTACACAAGTTCAAGAAGTAAAACTGTGTTTCACAGGAGCCTCTCCAGGGCAAGATGTGTTCTCCTTGCACTGATAGGGCTGAGGGCAAAACAACGACTTGCAGTTAAGCAGCTCAGCATCATAGAAATACCTATTTATTCTACATAAATGAATTTTGCCTGTTTGGGTGCTTGTTATAACACTGCCTATCATTTTTATAATAGAAAAACCCACCTGCTAATGTCTGATTAGAGGGAGTTAATATGGAAAATACACTCTCTCTGCCTCCTGTTCTACAGATAATGTACCTGTTGAGCAGAGTGATGCAGAGTAACTCATGCAGGAGGCCGGGGGAGCCCTGCTTGGAGAGAGCTACAGAGTATGATGTGGTGCATGAAGGAGTGCTGGATTTGCAGCAGAACGCTTTTATGTCCTCTGAATGGGTGAAGTATGAACCATATCTTCTTCTCAGCCACCTTCTAACACAGTTGCTCTGTTTGTCCGTGCTCTGACATGAGAGGAGAAAAAAAAGCACATCTGGAAAAAAAACTAATTAAAAAAAAAAAAAAAAAAAGGCCTTGTAATTATCTGCACAGAGCAATTATTACAAAAAAAACCCAAAAAACTTCACAGTTCACATATAATGATTTAATTGTTTTCAAAAGGCTACTGCTGTATGTCTTGTGAGCACTGCCCCCAAGTGCGTCACGGGATTTGTCGCCTTTCAACAGTTAGTAAGTTCATTAACAAAGAACAACTGATTTTTATTTATCTCATGAAGCAAAGTCCTTGTTGCTTTCCGCTTGGTATTTAGCCTCTCTTTTTTTTTTTTTTGGCAAAGTAAATAATGGTGGAAACATTTGGAGACGCGTTTGAACTTTAAGTCCCTGTTTCCAAGAAGGAGAGGTTGATATAATGGCCAGCTCTGTTAACAGTTCGTATCACTTTGACTGTGTGGGAGTAGATGCAATTCATATTGTATGTTTAATTGTTCTGGTGCTGCAAAACTCATTTAAATTCCTCATATAAACCTTAACCAACTAGCCACACCTTAGAGAGAGCGGAGGGAAAGGAAGGCCCGATGGAACTGCCAGAATGATAAAGAGATGCAGTAAACCTCAGGGAAAAGAAGAATGCAAATTCTGAAATAAGAATAAAATACATATATGGTAAAGCCCCACACTTGCTGAGAGTGAGGCCTTTGCCATAAACAGCAGAGCTGAAACTTAGAAGAGACTGAAGCAGGAGATTCTGCTGCAAAAGAAAGTGTGTGTGGTCTGGCCACTTCTGCAGGGAATAATTTAGCATTAGAACAGGTAATGCCCATGTTTGGGCGCTGTCACTTCTGATGGAAACATTTCAGTGGAGAGCATTGTGCCTGCTTTCTACTCAGTGAGATGTGGGAATGAGGGGGAGCAGGATCAGTTCTTCATGGAGGAATGTGACAGAAAAATGTGAAGGTTTACTGATGATAGAAAGGGCCTTAACAAAGACAATGACTGTATAAACAAGTAGACAGCACCAAATGAACTGTATATTCATTCCCTGCCCTTCAGGTACTTGGTACAACTACGTGAAGGAGAACTGACTTTATATTGCATAGGGCTTGGAGCAGAGAGCAAGAATGCATGCCCTGCGATGAACATAATTCATTTGTCAGGTGGTAATGTGAGTGTCAGCAAGGAGAATGAATGTGGTACCTTTTCCATCCAGACCAAAGGACACAATTATTTGTAAGTATAGTTGGTAATTAATATTTTGATAAAGCAGAACAATTGAAAACAATGTCAGGCAACAGAGAACCTCAGTGCCTTGGAACAAAATACAGCAGGGGAGAAACAGAACCATCAGATTTTTATAGGTAACTCCTCCCATCGCCTTGTAGTGGTTTGATAAACATTTTAATGAGGAATCACTAGTACTACGTTGAGAAAATGCATTGAAACAATGTCCACAGACTCATCTAGTCATCTTGTCAGGAGCCAGTGGAGAACCACATCGCTTGATGGATTAGACAGATATGTGAGCAGGTTCTGACCAGCTTGTGCAGCAAGCTTGGTAAGACTGAGCACACTGTTCACCTTCCCCCAAGGTGGAGAAGAGGAATTAGGAGGTAACTGCATCGCAAAGTCAGTGTATAACAAAACTTCAGCTCTGTAACCTCAGATATGTAAGCAATTAACTCTGTCTGAAAAGGTCAGAATCAGCAGCACCGGGCTCCTTTGGCAAGTAAAGGTGCTGAACATCATTCTGCTTAAGAAATGTCTGTGGCTGTATTAGTCAGCATGTTATTTAGACTTCCGTATGTTTACAGAAGCCATTCTTCAATTTCAGGTTTCGAATTCCCTTTACTATCCAAAATTACAGGACACAGGATGTTGGCAAGCTCCAGAATGAATGGGTGTCTCTCATAGAAGGGTACTGTCAGCTGTGCAAGGGTGGCTTTCTGTCCCAGGAGGAATCCCAAGGAGATGCCTCCTCTGAAGCTGATTATGAGAATGTTACTGTAGCTCTGAATGAACAGAAAGAGGAGGCCCTCCATTTCGATGTGAGTGCTGCAAAACTCAGTCTGAACAAGCCTTCAAGCTCACAGACAAAGCCTGCAAAGGGAGATGTAGCCCCAGCATCAGCATCTACTCCAGTTCCCATAAGTAAGGTGGAGGTGCCACCAGCCCCACCTGCATTCTTCCAGTCCTGCAACCTTTCTCCCTTGGCAAAGAGAACGAAAGCCTTTCACTGGGATGTTGTTCCTTGTGATAAGGTAAGGGTGAAACTGACAGTAACTGCTTAATAATAATAATAGTAGTAGTAGTAGCCTGGATTATACATATAGTTAAAATTCAGCTATGCCAGAAAAGGACCTGAATGCCCTTTATACGCTCAGAATAGAACAAAGTGACCCTGTTCTTCTGGCTTTTTCTTTTCCCTGTCATTCCTATGTTCTTAGATTCAAAAATCCATTTGGGGTTCTTGTGACCCAGGCAAGAAAAAGATAGATGCATCCAGACTCTGTGAGCAGTTCCAGATCCAGGACGTGGCAGTGTTTTCAGGCAATGAACCTTCAGTGAATCAGCCCATCATGTTGGATCGAAAAGTTGCACATAACTTCAGTAAGTAAGAACTGTGTACTCCCATTTGTATGCATTTTCTATTCATAATTTTTACCAGTTGGTGGTAAAAGAGGTAATCTTGTGTCGAAATCACCGCTTGACTCAGTGCCACTCATTTGCGAGTGCAGACTTGGTTCAGTTCTCTAAATGTGATCCTTCATGATGCAGGGTAGAAATACCACATCTCTCTTCCTGTGTGAAACATCTGAGTGTGCCCTCCTGCTGTGATGCTGCTGTGATGCTGCTGTCTCAGGGCTGGCGTTTATCACCATGATGACACCTGTGAAATCACTGTTAGAAGTGGGACTTCAGCATCTAGTTCTGCTCTTACTGATGGCGTGATGTGAAGTTCTTTCAGTGACTCTAATGAGAAGTAATAGATACCAAAGAAGCAGGGGTAGAAAGACAGACTCATAGTATGATAGAATGGCTTGGATCGGAAGGAACCCCAAGGATCATTGAGTTCTGGCCCCTCTACCACAGGAAGGGCCTCTAAGAACTTGGTAACTGGTCTTCAATGACTGCTTCGATTTTTTGCAGAGATGGCTTTCGAAAAATGAACTACATAAAATAGTGCTGTTTTAAGAAATGTTACATGTGTAAAAAATGTGTTCATTTTGAAGCCATGTTGATTTCAACTTTATGAATATTGATAAGAAGGAATTTGGAGATTGTGGAAAGTTTTAACTGGGAACTGTAAATGGAAGTAACTTGTTGGAATTATTGCAATGACAGACTTGAAGGATTAAAAGGAAGTGAGTGATACAAAAGTCCTGTTTCAGATAAAAAGAATCCAGTAATAGCACTTCTCTCTGCAAAATTATTCCAGTTTCTTTCAGGAAATTTCTTTCATTTGGTTTGCAAATAGCACCATTCTCCCTTTTGATCCAACTGCTCTCACAGCTTCTTTCACTGAGACATTCTATGTCCATTTCTTAATCTTATCCTTAAAGTCCCATCAATGAGATTTTTGACATGTCCTTATTTCCGTGGACAGTTCTCAGATCAAAAGTTATTCCTATTCTCAGAACTCTGATTAATCTTCCTGCAAGAGCTGCAAACCACAGTTCTTAAACTAATGACTAAAAAGATGAAGCTCCAAGATGCCGGCTGGAGAAAATCTCTTCAGTATTCGAGTGGATGTCCAAACTCAAAAGAAAAATTAGAGTTCTGGGCACAGATCTACACACTAAGTTCAAACCTGGTGTAGAAGAGAAAGCAAATAAAAGCTAAGTTATCTCACACAGAGAACAATGTACCAGAAACAGAAACAAGAAAACACCTTGCCTTTAACAAAGGAAAAGATTTGGGGAGGTGGGCATTAATCCAAGACTGACTTAGGGATCAAAACATCAGCTCCTGTGACTTGATGGGTGCTTGTTTCTCTGTGTGAGAACCATTTTTTCCATGTCAAATCCTTATTTTGATAAGAAAATACCTTGAACCTAAGATGGCATGGTAATTTGGGGGAAAAAATTAAAGAAATGAGTAGAAATTGAGGAGTTGATGATCTTGCAGGTCGTTCCAACCTTATGATTCTATGATTCTTCCATGTAATACGAGGATCTTTTTTTCCCAAGGCATTTTTCTTAAAAGTTTCCGTATAAAACCAAAGGAGCTGAAAGAAAAGCTGTACATCATCCATGAAGAGAGTGGTGGACTTACAGATGAACAGATCACAACACTACGAAGGTAATCTTCTGGTTTCAGTTGTTTATTTACAACAAATGCCTTGTTTTGGAGAAAGCGAATTGTTCTGCAAATAACAGGAAATTCAGGAAAGATGCTATTGAGACATCAGATCTATCCTGACCACAGATAAAATGTGAGGGCTGCACACAGAAGGAAGCCCAACACGTGTTACAGAAACTTCACTGTAGACTATCAGTATTTCCGAGTGACCGAGGCTTGCAGGTTTGAAGCCACAATTAAAATTAATTAAATTAAATTTTGGAAACTTTAAGTTTAAAACCCACTACTGCCAAAATAATAATGATGCAGAAAGGAATCAGTTTCAGAGGCATGTGAAATTTGGATTGTATCTATTTGAATGGTCAAGAAAGGAGCAGCTCAGAGAGGTTTCCATTGCACTTTTAAGTCCCCCTGCCAGGCATGCGATAGCTATGCCATTTCATTGCATGCATTGTTATGAAAATATGGGGTGAAAATAAGAAAATTGAGTGTTTTGCTGAAAGGGATCTCAGAAAAAAAAGGTGATACTGGCAAAGAAAGTGAAAAAGCAAATATGTATTTTTTAACTGTTGATGTGCCTACTTGTTGTGGAGTGAGTTTAGTTCTGGCCTCACAGTTCTGGCCTGATCCTCATTGGTACAGTAGTGTTAAAGTTTGCAGAACTGTGTTTGCACTTAGTAATGAGAACAAGCGGAACAGATGTGAACATATGGAGTTAATGTCATTGTGTGCAATGGCTTGGGCACAGCTTGCCTTGAGCAAGCCACCCCATAACACATAACACAGCCTGCTCTTCCCTGCTCATTCTTCCAAAGTGTTATTGCTGGATTGAACACAGACAAAATTGCATAAAAATCTGCATTGTCACCAGGTGCTTCTGAAAGGTTGTCTGATGGTTGTTCATCCAATATATGAAAGGAAGGCACATATGCATCACACACAGAATTAATGAACCTCTTTGGAAGGTATAGCATTAATTCCTTTCTGCTACAGTTTTTCCTTCTTCAAAAGGTAAAGGTACCTTCTCCACGGCATTGTAAATTGTCTGTAGATCTGCAGATGAACACTGCTGACTTATTGTCAAGCCTTGTGCGTGTATAAATGTTTCCAGAAATGCAGATCTAGCTGCAGACCATTATTTCTATTGCATCTCTCAAATATCAATAAAGTACAATTGGCTAAAGAATAAATGCAATGTGCAATAATAACATGCAAATGTGCAATATGTAATACAAGGAACTGGAAGAAGTTCTGACATGTGGAGTGGGATGAGTGTTTGGCATTGTGGCATGTTCAAGGATGAGGACATCTGCTGTTTGTTTGCTGTTTTGCAGATACATGCTAACACCAAAGGATGCAGAGAAGTACCAGTCGTTCAGGGGGTGCCCCTCAGAGCTGCACATAGTTGATCAGTTTATGTTGGAGGTAGGAAGGCACAGTGTTAAAACACGTTACATGCTGTTTCTAACAGCCTCTTCTGGATAAATCACTACAAAGAACTGTTCTTGGGCACTGAAATTTAGTCTTACCAAGAATAATTATAAGAAGGTTTATCAGAGAAAGAATTGAGACAGTAAAAATGTACAAAGAGATCTGTAAAATCCATTTTGTATCTCCTACTAACATGCCTTCCACTCCCCCCAAAACCAGTTACTCTGAAATACGTTTCCAAAATCTCTAGACGTAAAACTGTACACATTTAACTGTTCTTGCTCATGAGAAATGCTTGTCATTAACTTTAATGGTGTCTGGCCCTACAAACCTTCTCTGTTCAATTTTGTGCAGATGTGTAAAATCCCCCACTTAGGCCAGAGGTTGGATCTCCTGCTTGCCATACGTGAACTCCCCGTGAGCATGGGAGATCTGGAGCCCGTAAGTAATGACAGCTTCATCATTCGTTAACATAATCTGTCAATTAAACATTGGAAGCTTCGGTGTGCCTTTCAGTGCCGTGTGACTGGGGATCTTTTTTTTCCACTATAGCAAGATATTTCACTGTTCATAATGTGAACAGTTAATAGTGTAATGACCCAGGCAGCCTGATTTCATGATACTTTTCAGATGTAAAGAGCAAAATGGCTAAAAAATAATGATCATAGACTTCTTAAAAATAGATCATATCTTTGATGGAAATAAATCCACCTCCTGTGTCTGTTGCCCCAGAAGGGAGGTGACGGTCTGGCTAAAGCAAAAGCTGATACTGAATTTGATTGCAGGGAAAATGTACCAAGAATTCTGATTAATCTTCAGCTGGTGTAAACAAGAGAGAGGTGAAGGACGGAGAACCTTATGCTGCGCTTTGGGCTATCTGCTTCCCCCGATGCTTGGCATTTGGAGCAATCTGGTGCATTCAAACAACAAAACACTTTTTCTTCTGAAGCATTTTGAAGGATGAGGTTGAAGTTCTTTTGGCAGGGCTAGTTTGGTAGCCACGGAGGATCTGACCTCCATCTCAGGCAGCTGTGCTAGCACCAGCTTTGCTTGCTTGGGAACAGAACCTGACAGCCCCTGGCCTTTCCCAGAGGAAGCTGGATGGGAAGGTAGCAATGTGACTTGCTTCGGGTGGGGACAATGAAGCATGGCAAAGAACAATTACAGGCGCCATTGTTCTACTTGCATATTTGTGTTTCAGCTAATAAACCAGAAAATCCAAGCAAGTAAGCAGCTGCATTCCAGCCAGAAATTTATTGCTGTCTTGGAGTACATTTTAGCCATTGGAAACCATTTAAACGAAAATGCGGGAAAAGAAAAGGCAAAAGGATTTCGATTGTCATCTTTGGCCAAAGTGAGTAAATATTTTTCTTTTCATTAAGTCATCATATTGTAATGTATGTTAACCATTAGCATTACCTCAGTTTTGCCCTGAGTGCGGAGAAAGGCAATCATTTTTAATGAGAAGCTAACATTTTAACATCTGCTCTTGGTTACACCAGAAACAAACTCCTGTTTAATAATGTATTCTGTAATGTGCACTGTAACAAGATGCATTTCCCCATTTCAGACAGTGGTGCTGGCTGGGTGGGGGGCACTGCGGTGTTGGATGTGTTGTTTTTCTAATGAGGGAGAACATCAAAATGCTGACGGCCTCGATATTGAGATCCCCTGCCTGGAAGAGACATCTGAACTGCAGGCCCTTGACTTACAGAGTGTTTTACATCTTCATGCAGTGCACTGTCATAGGGACTTTCATTATCCATAGGCTGTAGCTGCAGCATTCCTTCTGCAGTGGAGTGCTGCTTTCTGCTCTAATGTAAAGCTCTTCTGCAGCAAGTGGGCCCATGTGATTTTAAGTCTCTAAAGTAGAGTGTAAATAAATGAACAAATGCAGAGGGAGGGAACTTTGCCTGGTTTATGGTTCGGACACCCCCCACCCCACCACTGCTCTTCTGGATGAATGGATGGGGAGGGAGGTGGCTGCTGTGATCCTTTGTCTCTCCTGGCAGAGATATGCTCTGTGAACAATCGTCATCTATGCCTGCTCTGTAAGTAGAAGAGAGGAGGATTTTGTTTATTTATTTATTTATATGTATATGTGTGTGTGTGTGTGTGTGTATATATATATATATTTTTTTTTTTGGTAAGGTATCTTTTCCATCTGATCTGGAGACTTTAATATATGAGTGAGTGATTTATAACTCCAGTGGCAATTCTGAGACACAACCCTTTTTTTTCTTTTTTAATAACAGTTGTAGTGCTGTATCAATCATAATGAAAAATGCCAACGAAATCATTTTCTGCCACAGCACATCTTCCCAGATTCAATTAAGGAAGTTTACTGCCTTCATGAACACAGCACACTGCTTTTACATGAAAAGGAATGATGACTCTGTTTGGAGGACCAAAATGAGTTGCAATCACTTAGGACACCTTAAGTTATTACGAATGTGTGAATAAGAAAACAAAAAAGAACACAATGAAGGTGAACGGATATGAAAGCAAAAAGTTTGATCTTAATCAAGAATGTCTGAGAAACTGCAGATTGATAAGGAGATATTTGATTTCACTGCACTTTCTATTCTTGTCAGATCCATCCAGAAGCTCTCAGCATCTCTGCTGCTCCTAAATTTTTTAAAGAAGTGTAACAGCTCAGTCTGTCAGTTACTGCTCCATTCTATTTGCAGTTATCCCTGCTGCGGGGCAAGGAGAGGACGTTCACCTTGCTTCATGCTCTTGTGGAACAGATCTCCTTACATGAGCCTGATCTGGTGAAGTTTTCTCAGGAACTGACAGAATTTGAGGCTGTTCCTGATGGTAAGAGGAGGGAGGGGAAGAAAGCCACCAAATAATGGAATCCCTCAACTTCTGTTGGAACTTCCATCCTAAAGTGCGAATGATATTTAGTGGCACGTTTTTCCATCTCTCTTCCTTTCCAGCTTCCATGAAGGGCCTAAGTGCTGAAGTTGATGGTATGTAAACGTGGTTTCTAAACTCAGAGAGAGATTTTCATACTTTGTGCAGTCGTTTGGAACAGGTTTTCATTGTACTTCTGTAGTTTGTAAAGAGAGGTAAATATACAAATATTGAGGTAAGGTGTTGCTATGGTGATATTTAGCCTGTCATTTTACTATGAAGAATTTTAAAAAAGAAATAATAAAGTGTGCCCAGGTGGTTCAGAAATACCAAAAATATATACTGCTCGTGGTAAATAGAGTTTATTTTAAGCTAGAGATGTTAGCAATATGAGCACTCTGTCCCAGTTACTGCAGTAAGATTGTCTCAGAGCAGCCAGTGCAGCAGGAGGAACCTTTGCACGGTTCAGCAGAGAAGTTCAAGAATGTCTCTGAACCAAACTGGAGTCCATCTCCAGAAAGGAGTCCTACACCACTGAAGTCAGTAGGAGAGAACAGAATAAAGTCACTCAAATGTAAGACAGATTTTGGGAGACATTTACAACTTTGAACAGCACAGTAAGGTGACCAGCAAAGCCAGTGGATTTTAGAGTGAGCTCTTTGAGAGCTGATAGAGAAGGTACCTGCATGGATAAAAATAACTTACATTGTGTTAAACATTTATAAAAATCTGTCTTTTGAAAATGTGGCATGGACATTGACCAAATGTCACCACAGACTAGTAATTCCCATTTCAGCTTCTTGTAACATAATTTAATGACCATTGCTCTCAGCTTTTGGCTTGAAAAACTCTTGTTCCCATTTTGTTGGGCTTGGGGAAGCAGACAGGCATCTAACTCAAGGCTATCAAAGACAGTATTTTACTTTGTTCCGAGAAATACCAATTGAGTTTTTAGGAATATGTAAGTAGCTAGATATATGTACATACAATCACTGTTTACCTTCAGTCACTCGTGTTCTCCAGAGACCACGTTGGTACAGTTGAGTAGTGCAACAGGCATGGGAGCTATGGTGTAGGTGCTGGGAGCTGAGCTATCAAAGGAGAGGAGTTAAGAGACCTGGAGGAGACTGACAGTCCTCTTTCCTCCTGGATTTCTGATGGGATCACTGTGGAGCACTCTCTTATCTTCCAAGTACTGCTCTCCAGAGCAGACAGGGAAAGAGATTGGACAAAATGCTTTTGATCCAGCCTTTCACACAATGTTGTTCAAGACATGTCCTGGGACTCATGCAGAGTGTATATGAGCAGCCTGAGTCAGTTCAGGACTGAGTCACTGCATCCAAAGCTGTGTCCTCTCCTCCCATTCCATACAGCCAAAGCTCTCATGATGGCAATCTGCTGTAGGAATTTCTGCCATCTGAGAAGATTTCTTATTCGTTATAAAGAGAATTTTTGTTCCTTTATCTTTAATAGAAGCCTGAATTTTCTGTACAAAAAGGTAGATTGGAGGAATGTTATTTTCACAGATAATTCCTAAAGCCTAAGGAACATCAGATTTACAGTTGCTGCATAACCACTCTATTGACCTCTTCATTACTCTGCAGTTGCTTGTGGAGTGATCACATACTATTTCTTTCCCGCAAAATCCATGCTTCCTTTAGGATTTCTATTTTAAAACAGAAATTAAATATTCCTAGATGAACATATTATATAGATCCAGAGTCTCCTACATTTTATGTCTCTTATAAATAAGACATTTGCATTCCTTTGGACACAACTGCATGCTCATGAAATTTCTTATTTTCTTTCTCCTTTGTTAGTTCTAAAAAAGGAATTGGAAAATGTTACTCAGTGCAGGCGTCTTATCAAATCCAGGACAACCAAGGCAACACCCCAGGAGTCACAGTTCTGCAGAGAACTAAAGGTAACATTACCCCAACCTTATCGTGGGCTGGAGATAAAAGATAAGTAACCTCCTTGGTTTGTGCTGAATCCTGCCCTGACAAGTGGATTGGGAGCATCTGAGGAAAAGCAGACTTTTATTTCTCTCTGACAGCGTTTGATGAGGCATGGGAATGCCTTTTCAGAGCTTCTGTATCTCTTGCTTTTGCTTCACAGGCTGGAATGGATGAGGAGCAGATAGCTTCTCAGTCAGCCGCAATAAGCGCTTTGGAATAACAGCAATTTCAGAGCATGTATGGATTTGTAGCAACTCCTTCTGCCCTCAGACAGCAGGGAAAATAACATGGAGAAACAGCATCCAGGAGCTAGACTGAACTGTGATTATAGGTTGGCCTAAGATGATTCTGCCCATGCTAATGGCAGAGTGAGGTGGGCAGGGGAGCACTGCAGAAGGCAGCTGAGGACGTGCTGGTTGCTCAGTATGCTTCTTGAATAAATATACATCTGAAATGTGTGTGATACAAAGGAGTAGTGATTAAGATTTTTTTTTATTTTTTTGGAAGCTTAAGGCTTTGTTTTTCACTCAGTGAGAACCGGTGAGTGGCTGCCTTGTTTAGAATAAGGCTGGGCAGTGCCTAATGGGTTTTGTTTTTTTGTCTTTGATGCCTTCATATTTGCAAGGCAACATATGTGCTTGATGTGTGTTTATCTTCTGTGAAGCGTGAAATTGTTCTGATGTGAAAATTTTGACTTAAATTCTTTTATTTTCACTATTTGATATCTGCTCTAATATTACACTCCTTTGCCAAATTAAGAATTTTTACTTTATTACAGGATTTGATTCAGAAATATGAAGGGGATCTATCCCAGCTGTCAAAAAGATGTGAAGAAATGAAGAAGCTTTATAGCAGTGTGCTGGTACGTCTCATTGTAAAATGCAGTGAAAGAAATCTAAATTTCTTAAGAAAAGAAGAAAAATGCAGAAGTTCCCATGCTCCCATGTGCCTTGCAGTAATACTGTCCACATGATGTGGATGTGGATGCAGTGTTTTGAAAGACATTGTTTTTTTATTCTTAAGGATTTATAATTCACTTTTTAAAATGTTGATTGTCCGAAAGTACAAATGTGAAAAAGTAGATGTTCAGAATCTCAAGTTTTCTCCCAGCTGCTTTTTCACTCACTTCCCCTTGCTTTCTGAAGGTTGGCATTTCATATATTTTCTCCCACTTTGAATGGATTTATTTCTTCCAAATAATGCTCTTGCTGGGCAGATCCTTTTGTATATTTATGAGGCAGCACAAATGTAAAGCAAATATAAAACAGGATGGGTGATCAAAGCCCAGACCATCAGCTGAACAGCGCCAGGAAGGAACGGCCCTGCTCACCTGGGATCTGATGTGGAAACGGGCTGCATGTAGCCATGGAAATCACACTGCTCATGAAACAAAATCCACAGGCCTACCTTTGTGATTTCATATTCTGCTTATAAAATCAATAATGACCTTGGCATGTGATGCTTCTATGGAATTAACAATGAATTGGAGGTAACTGCCTGTGGAATAGCTGTGGGCTATCAACTTCTCATGGATGGTCGTTAGCTCCAGGAAATGCTTCTCTAATTGGTGTTTAATTGACGGTACGCCATAGGTGAGTGTGAGGTGTGCCAAGGATCAAGAACTGGAGCCCCCAGGAGGTGCAATTAGGAACACAACAGGCCAAACCATTAATCAGGTATCGCTGGTTAATGTGCAAGTTTTTGTGGTTGGATTATATGTGAGTTTCCAAGTTCTCAGCAGAGGGTTTGCTCCCAAGAGCATGTTAGGTGTGCAGGTAATGATGGATAGCTGTCCAAACCCTGTGGAAATACAACTACACTGCTGCTCAGCCTTGGGAGAGCTGTACCTCCTGGTTATCTGGTAGCTCTCTATTACGGGCAAGACAAGAAGCAACATAAGGTGTCTTTTTTAAACCTTTCATGGAAACCTTTGGAGCACGTTCTCTATGTCTTCTGCTCAATTAGAAAACCGTTTTAAATGCAGTTATGTTCTTTAACTCATTGATACCATTAAGGAGGACCTTTGGAAATGTCGACAAACCTTTTGAATTAAACCTCAGCAACAATTTTAAGACTAAAATTACTTTTCTGTCCTAGAACCGGAAAATACACATGGGAGTGATTTTAATTAATGCAGAAATCCCTCTCCTAGCAATTAACTTTGTAGTATGATTGCCTTTCACCTCTTGTTTTGCAGCAGAGCAAACGTGATGCCAATATTTGAGTTGCTTTTGAAAGTCTTCCAATCTCTTCAGCTTTTTCGGGTAAAAAGAAAAGAACAGGGAAAGGTGACTCCTCTGTGGATTAACTTTTCTTCCAAAATACCCATAATAATGTAAACATGACATTTTTTGTTTGCAAAAAAAAATGCCAAAGAATTAAAGCATTTGGGCTTAAATCTGCTGCTATCATGTCCACCATGATTCCATAGTGGATAGAAACCATTTCCCTAATGTGCTTCTTTTCTTTTATGGATGGGTTCATCTGAAAACTGCAAACAACCTTGCCATTGTAGGTGTTTTCTGCTCTTTGGTGGTAGATCTGCAGTCCAGCCAGAGAAGCTGCTTTGTGCAGAGAACCAGGAACCAGTTACTGCAGTAATTTAATTACAACTCCCACTGCCATTTCTGCTTCAGGTGTTTCGAATCCCAGTTTAATGGATGTTTTGTCCAGCTCTAAGTTTACTGATTGATCAATAATGATAATGAATGTATTCAGCCTTTCTCCTGCTCTTCTCATTACATTACAATCCTGGACACGGATTAATTTATTTGGATGATACCAATGTTAAATACATTTCTCTTTTAAATTTAAAGGTAAAATTTGGGGAACCACAAGACCTGGACTCTCAGGAACTGTTTGGATGGATATCTACGTTCATCAGTGAGTTCAGGAAGGCCTGTGCTGAAGTCATGCAGTAAGGACAACACTACTCATAAAAAGGGGAGAGTGAAGTGTATGAAACTACATTCAAGTTAATTGTTTTGAAAGTTGCCCTGCTAACAAGGTGCACATTCCATACAGTTTGTACAGCAGTATATTTTGATTTAAAGATATATTCAATTTATGATGTGTAGTTTTGCAACTGGTCTCAGACCTGTGGGATCGCAGGTCTCTTACGAGACTCACTTTGTTCTGTGTATGCCCCTACAGATACCTGTACATTTAGAAAGGAGACACTCTTGATGTTTTTTATTTTTCTTTTTATTTTTGTCTTTGACATCCAGTCTTCTGCCTGAATTTCAGCTGTTACTTACAGTGAATAAATTTACATATGGTGATCTAATTTTTAATTATTCTTAGTTATTATTATTTCTGTAGTTCTTCTTTTTTTTTTTTTTTTAATACACTTAGCTAAAAATCTTGATTGTCTTCAGCCATTAAAGCACTGCAGCTTCAGTATTTAATGGAGAAAGGACCTGGCAGGTGGCTCCCCCCAAAGTAGTACAATAAAGCATTGCTTTTTTTTGCATAAAATACTGTAGAAGCCAATCAGTGTGTGAAATTTGCATTGGTAGGAAGAGAACAATATCAGAGAAGTGAAATAAAAACATGAGGCATCTAAGTAATGCACAGTGAAAGCAATTATTGATGGTTTTCAAAACTGAAAATACTTTTGTTGCATTTGTTGGCTTTCCATATTTTCAATTAGTATAATTACTTGCAGCTCGAAAATACAAGGAGAAAAGGAAGGCTGTAAATGCATAAACAAAAAGGGATGTGTTGAACACGGAAAGCAGAAAATTGTCCTATGAAGCCATTGATAAAACATTGCCTTTTTCTCTACCAGTCTTACAGCATTGATTGATAAAATGTGTGATGTGTGTTCTCTGACTCATGTTACATCTGCCTGCCCAATTCTCTCGGCATTTTGGCTTTTACAGAAAGCCTAACAGGTAGAAATGCTGAACAGTCTCCTTGGCTTCAATGCTGCAAGAAATTAGAACTATCCTATCTGAAATGCTTAGAAGCATCTAAGCCTAAAATTGCTCTATTAGAATGCTCTCTCCAGTACCATGTGAGATTTCTCCCTATCCAGATGCCAGGTGTTGTGCAGGTGTGCTGATGAGCAAGGATGCAGCTGTTCTTCCAGCTGTGTTTGGTTAAGAGACAAACCTGGAGCCTCCTGTGAATGCCAGCGGGCATCACTGCTTAATTCATCTGCTTTAAATCCACTTCTCATCTCAGGGGAATTTTAAAAAATTGAGGAAGAGGCTCAATGGACTCAATAGACACCTCCAAACCACCCAGCCAACCGAAAAAATGAAAGAAGCAAATGGAGGGCAAATTTTGTTTTAGAGTAAACAAACTTGTTTTCTACAAAGTCAGCATTGGAATAGTGACACTTGGCTGGCACTGAAGTCAGCAGTGTCTGTATATCAGGATCTATAGCATCTGTATGTGTCAGGAGCTGAAGATTACTGTTTTTTGGCTAGAAGAGGAAAATTCAGTTCCTCTTCCAGCACATGTGTACATCATAAACAACCCTTGCAGTTTCTGATGTGTGTTATTCCCTCTCCAAAATCAGAACCATCTTCATTTATATGTGAATCGTGTAAGATAACACTGCCTACCAGTGCCATTTCCATGGTATCCAGATCCCTGCATCCCTGAACAGCATTCGTGATGGCCATGATAACTTTTATGTTTTTCTGCCATTACTTTAGCTCAGGAGTCCTGGGAAGTCTATCTTAACTAAGTTGTTTTCTCTCTTTTTTTTTTTCTCCTGACTCACTTTTCCCCTCAGTCTCTTTTCTCTCTTATTATATCTAACAGCTTGTACTTGTTTTATAGCTCAGCTGGCATGGCTTCTTCCAATTAAAAATATATTCTACACAGTAGTTGATATCTGTGTCTTTGCATGAATATCCTGCAGCAATCATTTGAAAAATTAATGACCAAATACCTCCTTGGCAAGAAGCTCTGCCCCTCCAGAGGACATGAAGCTTTCCCAAGGAACGGGAGCTTACAGAGGAGACACGTTTCCATTTTCCCAAACAAAGCATTTTTTCTGTGTCTGTGAGTGTCAGAGCTCATCTGATTTATATGTAAAAAGAAACAAATGCAGCTCATTCCCTTCTGCATTCTTTTTTCCCCCCAAATAATATTTTGCATCATATTGGTGTTTTTTTCTAGGTCTCTTTGAGCCAACTCTCTCACTCTGTTTTAATGGCATTTGTTTGTACAGAATAATAGTTGTTACACCTCAGTGTTTATATAGACAAGCTCTAAATGTCTCTGCAGACAATTCCTGTGGAACCCTTCCTTAGCAGCTGACAGCAGTACCCTGCAAACCTGCAGCCATAAACGCCCATGTGTGAGGTGAGGCTCCAGGAGTGAACCCAGATGGAGCACTCCTACAAGGAGCTGCCTTCCAGATTGGTAGTATTTGTAAGTTTGGGCTAACTATTGCCCTACAAAGGCACCAAGCTTACTTTGGCGTATTATGAAATGTGAAATCTGAAGGAGGATGCAGTCCTGCTTGTTATTATAGATAGAAATTTGCTTGACTCATTTCAAAGCAGAAACTTTTCTCAGGCAGTAAATACTTCCCGGCTAATATCCCTGCTAGGATATTACTGCTGTCAGTACAGCTGACATTAAACTTTGTTTTTGGGAATCCTGCCATCCAAAACAATCTGACGTCTTCCTTTGCTGTTAGGAATTAAGCTGATTAAGGAAATTAAAAACAAACAAAACCATTTTGATTCTGGATTTACTGGACTTGCCCTACGCAAGCCACCTGTGCCGCCTGCACTGTGCGAGCTGAAGTACCGCTGTCAATGGAGCAGCCCTGCGGAGCTGCAGAGTGCTGGGCTGACCAGTGCTTCTCTGTGCTGTACCAGAACAGACATCTTGGGGAATGAAATTTACACATTTAGAAAAGTTACTGGGTTTTTTGTTGTGGTTTTTTTTTTTTTTTTTTTTTTTTTGTCTTCTTCAGTCTCTCCCCTTACAGCCGTGCAAAATTAGTCAAGGGCTGCTGAGCTGCACGTGGAACGTGATGGCTGGACGGGGAGATGGAAGTGACAGACACAATTTCAAGAGATGTTTGTGTATTTTTTATGTGGAAAAATCATTGGCTTATATAAAGAGAGGCCGTTGATATGGAAGGCAGAGTTCACACTGCTTCTGTTCAGGACAGAGCTGTGCACCCATAGGGGCTCATTCCTAGAGAGACAGTGGCTGCTCATGGCTTTTGTAGTCCTTGGGGTATTTTGCTTCTCCAAAACACTGCTAGGAAGCAGTTTCCAGGGGTTATCAGCTGAGGACAAAAAGAAACACAGAACGTGAGCTGAGGAGCCTCATTTCTCCCTAACAAGAGTTAAAAAAAAAATAAAAAATAAGACAACAGTCTCCTGGAAAAGACATCTACAGTCCAGGGAGAGAAATCGGTGAGTTCAATGGATTTGACTCCTCAGCTGTGAAATAAACGTATTACTTTCTTCCTTGTATCTTTTTAAAGCATTCACTACCACAGAGAGATATTTATTGTTCTTGACAGCCTTTTCTCTTCTGTTCGAGTTGGCACATTTCAATAGATGGCACTAAAAATCCTAATGCTGAGCCCTTCTCCATGACTTCCATCATCGTCATGAGTCTTCCAGTACAATCTCTCCCTTCTGAAGATCAAACAGGCAGTGAAGCCAATGGACAGACTCCTAATGCACTCTCTTAGGCACATCCTTTAAAGCAAACTATTCCCTCATTGGCTTTTGCTATGGAAGCCACTCTGTGAGCAATTTCGCTGGGACAAATTCTGCTGAGGGGAGGTAATCTGTGAGCTTCTGTTGATGTCAAAGGAGATGCACTAAATTGCACCACTTCACTATCTAATTTTCTGTGGTTTTCCTGACACGGTGCTGGCAAACTGTATCAACAAAATGTGTTCAACAGTGTAAGCTAAATTGAGTGCCAGCAGATCATTGAATCCTTTGCAAACTCCATCCTGTGCATTCTGTGCCTGCATTGCTTGGGGGAACAGGTTCTGAAGATCAGAGCAGGCAGCAAACTGAGTTCCTTCCTTTTCCCTCCTACTGAAAAAGAACAATTTTCCTGCCAGGCTATTTGTTTCCCTTATTTGCTGACCCTATCTGATTTTATTCCACCTTGGCAAAATGCACACTTCTTGTTTCATTCAAACACAACTGAAAGTCTGAGACCATTGCATAGGTCAACAGAGTGCCTCAAAAGTTGTTTATTTCCTAAAACTGCACTAAATGTATCAGGTAACTTAGCTAAAAACACAAAAATGAGGTGTATTTTTTTTTTCTCCTTTCTAGACATGAGCTGAAATGTAATAATAAACCAAGAATTTAATTTACTTTCTTATGAGTTATAGGGCTTTGAGTACCTGCTATAAAGGTGTTAATGTCTGTACGTGCACAAGGTCATTTTTTGGTCTTAGTCCACAAAAACTCTTTTATGAACGTTTTGGGAATACATATAAATTAACAAGAGATGTTCTGGATAGATTTTGAATAACAATTCACTCAAGAAAAGCCAAGCTCTTTGTGGGCTGTCCCCAGCTGCGACTGACAATGAAATTTACCATCATATTGATGTTGTGAACAACTGACCTATGAAGGAGTAGAATGAACTGGCAGGGTATCAGCTACTGATGTAAATCTGGACTAAGTGTATTGGACTCAGTGGATTATTTGCAGACCTCCATCCAGTAGCAGCAGAAACAAACAGCTGGACGTGACAGCAGAACCTGCCCAGGAGCATCTGCAGCCCTGATGTGCACTCTGTGCTCAGGTCTGGCGTGTGCTCAGGTCTGCAGCACTGAGCAAACAGAGGGTTTGGCTGGGTGAGAAAGCTGAATAAAGACCTGAAATGCCAATGCTGTCAGCAGAGCTGAACGTTTGTACCCCCACACACAGGCGGACATCCTGCTGACTTCGTTTTGTAAATCGCCTCTAAGATTCACACACAATTTCTGAATTCCATTTCCAGTCATCAAAGCACTATTATTTATTTATTCTTATTTTGTAACAGAATACCAGGGAAATTAAACAAGTACCAAAAATAGGAGCAGACAAATATTTTTTCCTGGTATCCTTTCAAAAAGAAATACTCAAAGATGGGATGGTGTGATGAGAGCAAAGTTCGAAACAGACGAACAGAGGCAAGAAGCTTAGTAAGCCAAGCAAGGCACCAGAGATGGAGCACACACACACACACACACACACACAGAGGTCTATGAAATAGATTAAAATGAAGCAAGGAAAACGCCAGCTTGGTTCTGCATCTGAAGACTTCATGGGCAAAAGCTTTTGTTTATTTTAGCCATTCCAGCCATGTACATGTATACGTTGCCATACACTTAATGTTCAAATTGGGGGGAACTTTATAAAATAATTATTGAATCTTCTTAAGGCCCATTAAGCTCATTATCCAGGTGAGCTGGTTTTGCATTTAGCCAGCAAACCAGTAAGCTAACTGCAGGTCCTGGGGCCAGCTGTGCAGGAGAGCAGTTAGCTGTAATTGGCTGTATACTTAATTACTAATGTGTTCGCACAGCTGAAGTAACCTGTGTGTACAGCAACGTGTGCACACCACTGGGATAAGAGCACAGAAGTGAGCAGTGCTCAGCTGGGGGGCTGTGCTGTGCAATCAGCCCCATGGCATGCGAAGGAGTGGGGTGGGATGGCAAACAGGCTTAGTGCGTGCAGCTGCAGGCAGAGAGATGGGGAAGTCCTGTTCTGAATCTTCATCATCCTGCACCCATTTTACATAGAGATGATGTCATTGTTCACAACAAAAAGATGCTGAAACAAATCTGGCTGAAATGACTGCAAAATTCTGAGTTTTGGACAAATGATGGAGCTTTCAACAATGTCAAAAGTTTAAAATTCCAGTCAGAAGGTGTATCTATGCCATATGTATATTAGCTGTGATTGGTGCACAGCTGAAAGGCTGTGGAGCAGCATGAGGTAAGAATGAGATGTTAAGGGGGAGATGTTAAAACAGCGTGGGATTATTTATACATGTGTATTTATCTACAAAACATTGTGAAGCAGAATCTTGCTGTTTTCACACAGTTCTGCTTTGCAAGGGTTCTCCAGACAGGTGTTTCTGTGTGTGGGCATAAATCCTTTTATCTGCAGATCCAACTTCTACAAAAGAAATAATGTTATGATGCAAATCTTTGTTTCCTTTCTTACTTCCTTTCCTTGTTTACAGCAAGTGCCTCTTCTCAGTTTGACTTTTCATCGCTGTTGGTGTCACTGGAAGAAAAGGATATCAATGCATTCCTAGAAAACAGTGCAATTTCTTTCTTAACTCTTATCTGAGCTAAGGGATTCCTTAAAATTTGCATCTGGTTTTCAGAATTTGGCAGAAGACTTATTGTAGGCTAAGGGGACTTTGGGGCTGCTCTACGGCTTCTTGAAGGTGTGGGCAGTGCTGGTGGCCACAGCTCCAGCAGCTCCAGTTGGGTCTGGCAGCTCCGGGAAGGGGTTGCTGGACGAGAGGTGAATGAAGGCTGCTCGTAGCGGTTGACACGCTCTGCTGACAGGCTCTGAGCGCCCCAGCTGGGCAGCGCCGGGTCCGGGTGCAGTGCCAAAACAAAACCGCCTAGCAACTCACAGGGAGGCACCTGCAGGTTGAGATGCTGCCTCCCAACCAGGCTGCAACTCCAACCCCCGCCTCCTTGTAAGAGGCGTTAAGAGACATTGCACTGATTTGTTGCTTTCCCTTCGGCTTTGCAGCTGCCGTAAAAGTTGGCTGGGAGGACGAGTGTGTGTGCCTGTAGGTGGCAATTCCGAGAGGAACGTCCATCCCAATGGAGCCCAGCTAGGTGAGGGACGGGCAGGCTCGTTGTGACATAAGTCTTTGGGGACTGTGGCAGAGAGAGAGAGAGGCAGAGACAGCCGGAGCCCGCAGCTGTACCGGACCCGGATCAGACAGCGGGGTGAGCGCCCGCATCTCCAGCTCAAAGCAGGGACACAGAAGCAGAAATCATGGCAACGTGGAGTGGTTTCATTTCTTCGTCACCTGTCTCTCATCAATAATTCACCTGACGGTTTTTTGTTTTTTTTTCCTCCCCTTTCCTTTTTTTTTTTCCCCCCTACCTACCACTCTCCTCATTAATCTCTTTTTTGATGCGGAGAGTGAGGGGAGAAAAGCGTGCACCGGAAAGTCTTTATTTTGCTCGGCTGCTTTTGTAAAGAGCTCGCGAAAGGACCAGGTAAATTTAAAAAAAAAAGAAAAAAGAAAATAGAAAAAGGCACCAAGTGGTGGCGGGCGGGAGGAGGAGAAGACGGAGAGGTAAATAAATAAATAAATAAAAGAAGGGAAGAAGCCGGCAGAGGGAAGAAGCCGGCAGAAAGAAGACTTTCAGAGCGGCTGCCGCTGCTGCCGGCGGGGAGCGCCGCTGTGCGCGGTGGCCGGAGCGGGGCGCGGAGCGGCCGCGAGTGCGGACCATGGGCTGGCGGCTGCTGCCCGCCGTGCTCCTGGCCCTGGCGCTGGGCGGCCCCGCGGCGCGGGCGCAGAACGAGACGGAGCCCATCGTCCTGGAGGGCAAGTGCCTGGTGGTGTGCGATTCCAACCCGACCACCGACGCCAAGGGCTCGTCCTCCTCTCCGCTGGGCATCTCGGTGAGGGCGGCCAACTCGAAGGTCGCCTTCTCGGCGGTCAGGAGCACCAACCACGAGCCCTCCGAGATGAGCAACAAGACGCGCATCATCTACTTCGACCAGGTGAGCTGGGGGCCCCGCGGGGCCGCGCTGCGCGCAACAGGTGCCACCGCCTCCCCCCCCCCACCCCCCCGTGTCCGCCGTTATTTCCCACCGGAGTTTGGACGGCAGCGGCGCAGCCCCGCACAGCGCTGCGCTCCGCTGTTCTCCCTTTGCCTCCCCGCCCCCGGAGACGGGGCAGCCCGCGGAGTGGGTGTGCACAGCCTTCTGAAGGGGAAAGAGGAAGGATTTGTAGGGAAAAAATCATTGAAGTTTTCTCTAAAAATCACAGCTTCGTAGCCCAGCCCCTCTCATCTCAATCACACACAAATATCAGCACGCGTTTGATACCAGCTCCTGCCCTAGGGCAGGTAACTGAGGCTGATGCTCGCTTTAGTCTCTGTCTCCAATCATAATGAACAGTAAATTGTGGTGACAGCTGGAGCCAGGCTTGTAGCACAGCTTTATGCTGTTTGCATCATCCCAACTTTGTGGGCATTCCTGATGGCTTTGTGTAAAAATATCAATTAAAAATAGAGTATAATTAAGTGGGATGAAATAAAAAGTAGGAACTAAAGGAGATATTTATCATACGGATGATGCACTTATTTGGTGTATTCCCCTCTGTTCCTTGACTCTGTTTAACCAGACCCAAATTATAATAAGTGCTTACATAAAGAGGGCAGCAAAGGCTCCTGGCCAGATGGTGCTCATCCACCAGGCATTCCTGGAGCTCATCTGACTGAGCACTGAATGAACTGTAGTGTTCCCATACATTCTTGCTTCCAGCTTGGTACTTCCAGGAAGGTGTAGAATTGGCCATTGCTTTGTATCCCAAACCGGTGTGCCACCCCCAGAATCAGTGTTTTGATGTCATTTTGGGGGGGATGATGAACAAAAATGACTTTTGCCAATATCCTCTAAATGTGTAGAATAAAGGTCATGTAGGTGTGAGATGTAGCAAAGTAAGAAAGATTTCCCCCTCAGCTTATTTATCATAAGGCTGAACTGTAGATAGAACTAACATCCATTTTAAGTGTAATATTTCCATGTGAGTTGATAGAACAGTAAATAAAAAAGATAAATGTGGATGGAAAATTTTCCTTGGGTGAATCGTTTCTCCAGTTGAAAGTCTGTGTTTTGAGTAGTGCTGAATGCCTGTGCTAATTCCCATCTGTACTTTTTGTTTGTAGATCCTAGTAAACGTGGGCAATTTTTTCACATTGGAATCTGTCTTTGTGTCACCCAGAAAAGGAATTTACAGCTTCAGTTTTCATGTGATTAAAGTCTACCAGAGCCAAACAATCCAGGTACGCCTATACAATCTTCTCATTGAATTGTTTATTCTCAATAGACTCTAGCCTGAACACAGGAGTGTTTCGTGCGCTCTTGAAGAGAAATAGCTGAGTTTACAGCAACCTGTGGTGTACAGCTCCCAGCAGGGTGAATATATTTAAATCGAACAGCTGCAATGAGGCAGGATCCTCAGCTGAGATATTGGACAGCTTTGCTGTGAGAACCAAATATCTGGGTGTGTGGGGTATGAAACAGAATGGACTGAGTAAAATATATCTCTAAATTTCACTTGGTTGCCTAAATACTATTGAAAAATGGTATTTTGCTACAGGAGTCAGTGTGGGGATATGTAACAATTCTGTCTGTTCTGGTAGGATCTCACCACCTGGCTGCCAGGTCATGGTGCCAGATGGATGCTCATGAACCCAGCCTGCTGTGTACCAAGGCTGAGGTGGTTGGTTTGTTCTGCAACAACCAAAATGTTATATCTCTGTAGGGAGCCTTTATAGCAGTTTAAACTTGCTTACCCATTCAATACATAAAAGATGCCTCATGTACTAAAAAATGGTGTAATTCTACTTTTTTTCTGTAGCTTACTAGCAGCTGATTCTAAGTTCCTGAACATTTCCTTGCTGAGCCAAAAGCAAATTGCTCAAAGCCTGTTCCTTAATCTTTGCCCCAGGTCGTGCAGTGCTTGTGATGTTTGTACTGGCTTTCTAGATGCAGAATAACATTTTGTTTCCACCTATGAGGCCACTGGATCCACAGAAGAATCTGATGCTTTTCCACAGACCTGTCTTGCCATTGGATATGTTTTTCATGTGACAGGGCTGAGACAAAGCTGATTTCTGCAGGAGTGATCCCTGTGTGCAGCCCTGGCTTTGGGCTGCCAGTACTGAAAGGTGTGAATGGTGGAGAAGGCAGAGAACCTGGAGGGCCATCCCCGCTTATAGCTTTGAGTCTTTGTTTCATTCAAGACAAAGATAAAATCTGGGATGAAATAATGGCATCACCAACTCCCCTGTAATGGGCTATTTAATAAACTCTGACTTGGTTCCTTTCACTCTTCAATACCAAGCATTGAAATGGTCTGGAATGATGGATATCAGCCCTTGTTATTGGGTTTAAATTACATGTTGCCAGGAAAGACATCAGGGCTTTGGTTCTGGAAGTGTAGGGCAGACTTTGGTGTTTCGCTGCCATGTACTCAAACCTGGGAGCTGGGGTGTGTAACAGAGAACATCATGGCCTGCCATGTGACATCTGTACATCTTTCATCAATGAAGTTTTTCAGAAGTGATGGATGGGTTTGGTTGGCTCTATTTTGGCACAGTTCACGTGAGACCACCTGGGGCAAAGCTGCAGTGTGCATCCTGACGAGGGGCCCTGCAGGAAACCAGCCCAGTAGAGAACAAAGAAAGCCAAGCCTAGCCATGAGCAAACTCTTGGTGTCCTTTTGTGCACAGCATGTTGTGATAGCAATAGGGAGGACTGAAAGCACTGCCATGGAGCAAACCAGCTTGAGTTCCAGCCATGTGCAGCCTTAAACACCGCTGACTTGGCAGAAGGCTCCTGTAAGTGACACCACTGCGCCCCTGAAACATCTGTTAGTGCCATTAAGTATCATTAAGCTGAAATTGGTTCCCTGGGGACATCTGATTAAGTGGATTTCCCCGATAAGTGAATCCCAAATCAGTGCCAGATTCTGCTGCCTGACTTTTGCTGAGCAGTAATTTATTCTGCTGCGACTCCTGTTAAAACTGGTGGGAATGTGTGCAAGGCCAGAATACTCCTTTTGAACAGGCATTTCACCCCTCTGTGACTGCCTTATTGCTGTTTAAAAAGAAGAAAACTAACATTTGCCTCTGGGGAAATGGAGGTGTGTGGACCTGCCCGGGCCCCTGGCCCTGCCTGTGGGTATTTACACAGAACCTGTGTGATGCACTCGGGGCAGGGGCTGAGCTGACTTCAGAAGTGTTCTGTGGAAGAATGGGTTCACTATCAAAATGCAGCTTCTCATAAAGCTGAAGGTCTGTTCTAGACTTTAAAATGCAGCTACTGATAGAAGGGATGTTTATTTTACTCTCAGTGGAGCGTAAACTTCCACTCTACTATGGGACTTCTGAAATGTAATTAGGTGCCTATAGTGCATCTCCAGGTGCCTATAAAGTCTCATGCAATTGTTGTCTTTACTGAATGTGTCTGAATGACCAATGAAATGGGTGAAGTGGAGCAAAACGGAGCTCCCAGGTCCATGTTACCAGAGAGTGAGCACAAACGGAGCTGCCTGGCCAATAACTAACAGCACATGCAACCAGTTATCCTTCATACTGAGCCCCAGGCTTGCAGTTGGGATGGTGTCCCATTGATTCCAGTCAGCTGCAGATCAAGGCCAGGAAGCAAAAGGGCTTGTCCACAACATACCTGTGGCACTGTAGTTAATATTCAGTGATATTTGTTGATTTTTTTTTTTTTGCTGTTAATTAGAGCTTCTCAGTGCTTTTTCTCATGCAGGTTAACTTGATGCTCAATGGGAAGCCAGTCATCTCTGCTTTTGCTGGGGACAAGGATGTCACTCGTGAAGCTGCCACTAATGGAGTCCTGCTCTATCTAGACAAGGAGGATAAGGTTTACCTGAAGTTGGAGAAAGGTAATCTGGTTGGTGGATGGCAGTATTCTACATTTTCTGGCTTTCTGGTCTTTCCACTGTAAAGTCAATTTTCCTGTGACGTTTGTCCGGTTGTGGAGTCGTCATTGCCCCTGTCACACGAAGATCATTCTGTCATCGTGGGATTGATGTTTCCTTATTGGTTTTTCATGGGTGAATATGGATTCTCTTTATGGATTTTGGCCTCATCTGAACTACACAGAAGTTTCACAGAATTTTGTGTGTTTGAATACAATATGTTTGGATTGAGACTAAAGCAGACGATAAATACCTGTGCTTAATGTTACGGTCTAAAGCTGCCTGCACATTTTATTCAGATTTCGTTTACTGGACTTATGGATTCGTGAGAGAAGTGGATTTTCTTTAATTGTGAAATGACTGGAAACCAGGTCCATAATTTAGCAGAATTTGAGTTCATTCTTCAATCAAGAGTTAGTGTGTTGCTGCCAAAGAACTGTATATTGGTATATTGGTCATACATGTTTCTGTCACTGGGACTTAGCTAACGTGACTCATTCCATTGTCTTGAGAAAGGTAATTATTTATGCTAAGTGACTGACTTTAATTCTCCTCTGCTGTAGTGTCTTGGATGGTTCACACATACATTTATGCTCTGTCTCTGGCTGTGATTGCATCTTGCCTGCAGAAAGCTAAGAAGGTATGGCTGGATTTTAGTGGGATCTGTAAGTTTTCCAAAAACAAAGAGCAGCTGAGCAGCCGTTAAGAAAAACACTCCTATCAGGGTTAGAGGTGATCATTTTCAGAACAGCTTTGCTCTTCAGGAAATCTCACAATTTTCAATTTTAAGTAATGTGATTGATAATAACTGCTATATTGAAAACCTGAGGGATCCCTTCCTTAAGACACAGATGCTTTATTAGCAGGAAATGTGTCCCCCTGTTTGTAATTATGCCCATTTTCCAAACCTTCTCTTGTGTTACAGGTATCATCTGGCTTTGCCTTAACTCCACAACTGTATATAATGTTAGATTGTATGCGTAACAAATCTGGAATCCAAATAGGCAGTACCTCATTTGGTGCAATATCTTTTTTGTACAGGTCATAAGAAGCTCACAAACTCATTGATTATGTCATTGTTACATAATAAAGATTAATATATGTTAGCTGAATTTTTGACCTTTGGATGTTGGAAGTCACTTCATGCTATTTTTTTATAGGATATAATTATTATATGCAAGATATGAGCTTTTGGGATTCACAGAAAGTGCCCTGGGAGGCAGGCGAGCTGTCCTGGTTCAGTCTGATGGAATCCTAGAGGTAATCAGAGTGATCTAGAAATAACCTATGCATTTTATTTGAAAGCAATTAGGCAGAAATCCTGGCTTTGAGGAAGTTAATGTTAAGAATCACATTGATTCTGAAGGATTTTGGATGAGATCTATGCTTTAGGTTTTGCCGTTGGCATTAAACTCTGGTGCAATTAAAACTGAATATCAATTGAAAATGATTTTCATGAGCTGCTAATGAAACCTCCCTTCCTCTTGCCCTTCAGTGATACGAAGTCTGCTCATGGCTGATGTTTCCATTACAATTTCTGAGCATCACTAGCAAAGAATTGTGCCCAAATTCCTATTTTGTGTTTTGGCTCTGTGGTTTTTTTTTTTTTTTAAATTTCAGAAAGCGAGATGGGTACGTATGGGTACATTCCTATGGATAGGTCAGATGAGGAGGAGGTCATTTGGTTGAGACTGTATAGTCTCTGCACAGAGCACTGCAGTTTGGGTGGATGTGGAAGGACGTGGCAGGAAGGCAAATGATTCACTTCTCTAAAAAATACATTTGAAAATGTCCATTATGAGAGATCAAAATGTAAGACTGCTACAGCAAATAAATGTGTATATATGTATATACATAAAAAACATTCTGTGATTGCAGCGCATAACATGCATGCCATTATGAAAAATTTATTTTCCATAGGAGTTGATTTCAGAAGGGAACATCAGCACTTCTCTATTTTGTATAAAATCAGTGAAATCTCAAAGCTCACTTTAGCCATTGATATCTGTGAAATGTAACTGAAATGCTGCTCCTGCACAGATGGAAGAGGAATGGTACTAAAAGTGTCTGTATACTTTTTGGAATGATCAAATGTATCCAACTCCTTCAGTCTGTAAACTTATGATCTCTTAAAGCTGCCTTCAGCAGTAATACTCAGCTCTTAATATACTGTTGATTTCCCCTTGGCAAAACATTTCCTCTTGCTTCTGAGTTGTTAACAGATATTTAAACTTGAACCAGAGTCTAGGAAATTATTCGATTAAGAGATGCATTTTGATAGAAATGCCCTACATTTTTCTCCTCTGCCTCTAAAATGACATTTCCTGCCCAGTTCTGCTGCTGATGAAGGGGAGAAGAGCAGAGCAGTGGCTGGGAGCAGCAGGGTGAGGTGTGTGAGGTCACAGCTCCTGGTTAAAGGTCTCAGCAGGAGCAGCAGTGGCAGTCTGTCCACAGCTAGAGCTGCCTTGCAAAGCTCTCCCATTCTCTGATCCCACACTGCTGTTGTGTTGATAGGAGTTTCTCCCAGCAGAGCTGCTCAGAGGAGGTCACCTCGTGCAGAAGGAGCTGGGCTTGGGAACTGCTACTTTTCTTCTCTGTGCATTCCTGTGCATTCCGCTGTCTTCCTGCGTCTGTGCTGCAGCATCAGCTCTGTGGCTGGAACAGAAAAGCATGAGCACATGACAAAAGTTTCTGGCTGAGTGTGGTGCATACATTCTTATTCTCTCCTTAAAATGAGATCTCTATTTATTTTCAACTTTTTCTCTGTATTTCATTTATTTTGGATCTGTATTTGATTATGAAACTGAGGGAGGGGAAAAAAAAAACAACTTATTTCCCTGCTCAGGTGATGTTTTGTGGCAGAGGCAGGCATTGCTCTGTTCCCTTGCATTCACCCTTCATCAAAGCAGCTCTGCCCTGCTTACTGGGAGGCACAGAGCATGGAGGTGGCACATGGCTGTGGAGCCTGAACTGGTGCTGTTTAAAAGAACCCAGGTAGCAGAAAGCAGATTGAAGCATTTCCCAAGCAGCTTTTTCTTTATGAAAGAAGGAAAAGCTAGCTTTGAATTATGGAGAAGGAAAATGTGAGGGTTGCATTTTATTTATTTATATGCATTTGTTTTACATTATGTCAATTTCAGGTAGTGCTGGAGGTGATTCAGTCCCCATTCCCAGGCCCAGCACTGTACCTGGGCTCACACTGCCCCTCACTGCTGCTTGCCCCATTCATTCTGATGAGCTGCTCTTTTTTTCTGATGTAAGGCAATTGTTGAAATGGTGTTTTGGAATGAAGGGCATATTGCTGCATCTCCTCTTCCTTACTGTTTAGATCTTCCTTATTATTTAGATCTGTTACTGCATTCGTTTTCCTAGAAAAACTAGATGGTTTTTAAGTGTCCTGAATCTCAACCTTAGCTATCAACTCTATATATTCATTTTTAGCTTAACTTTGTTTTTGTAAGCCCCCAGAAGGGCAGGTCTGTGGTACATGCAGTACTTTTACAAGCAGGATTTAGGGTAGAGAAGATAAATGCAAGAAGCAGTGTGTCACAATCACAAGAAGGCACCTAAACCATTAATAGGAAATATGGGCTGAGGCAGAGAAGCAGATCTATTTCCTCCTCCTTTTATAAGGGTTTCTGAGTCAGTAATATGCTTTACCTTAGCAGTTCATTACAGTCTCCCATCATATTGCAAGAGCTCTTTATAATATTAAAACTCTTTGTCTTCTAAAGACATTGTTAACCAGCTGACACAAAGTGCGTACAAGAAGATCCCCAGTGACAGAATGCAGTGGTTGGCACATGCCACAACATCGTATTTTTTGTGCTATTGTTGAGCAGATGGAAATGGCTCCTTTGAGGAAAGACATTGTCTTGGATGCTGAGCTGAAGTTATTTATCTGTTGCTGTTTGCCAATGAGGGGAAACCTTTCCTACCCAAGAGCACTAAGGGAAACGTGCAAAGAACAATGATAAAATCAGTCCCCATTATGTAAGTGATGATGAGGATGATGGAAATGTGGCTTAAACAGTCTGCTTGTTCTGCTGTGGTCTAAGGTGTCTGATGGAAGCAGTTGCTGTTTTAATCTTTGCAGTTTGGGGAAGGGAAAATGCCACTTCCCTCATTTTTAATAGGTTATTTCCTTGACCCCCCAAACCCTTTTTTTTCCTTATGTCTTCTGGTTCAGACTAGCTGCAAAAAAATACGGAATTGGAAATGATCTAAGAAAAGTTCATTTCTGAAGGGGGAATGTAGTTTGGTTTTGTCCTTATTTCTTGCGGTGTTTGATGTGGGGAACAAATAACCACAAGGGGGGTGGAAATGTTACAAAGCTGGCTTCTATGTAACCTGAGTTAACCCAAACGCATTCTTGAGCTGCTGTGCAGTTTGGTGCACTGCTTGACCTGTTCTGCTCCTACATGTGATACTTTTTTACCATGCATGGTACCGACCTGTCCTGTTGAGGCTACAGTATTGAAATCTGATGGCCTTCATCCTGCTGGAGGAATCTAGATGTAGAATCATAGAGCAGAGCACTGGAGACCGACTAATAAAGCAGCTTTGTTTCTGTACCCACTTATATGCCAGAATTTACTGCTACCCTTGGGCTGTTTGTGGTGCAGAGGGCAAATGTGGGTATGAACGTTGACCCACGCAAAAACGAGCTGAATTCCCACTGGCATAACAAAACTGTGCTCTGATGGCACTGTGGAGACCTGATGGTAGAAGGGAGGTCTGTGCTGGGCCACTGCGGGGGCCCTCTGAGTAAGTTCTGATCAGTTTATGGCAGCTGGACATGCTCCTAGGCCCTCCTTAAATCTTACTCTGTTAAAACATACAGACTTCTTTTTTTTTTTAATCTTTTTTCCTTTTTTCTTTTTTTTTTAAGTGAAGCTCTATTTACAGTGAGCATATTCTCAAACAAAGGCAGCCTTTATTAACATTGTCTTGACAGTAAAGTTAAGAAAGGTTTTCTGAGTAAATAGCAAGGCTAAATTTCTCAAGTTGAAGGCATGCAATTATGCGGCAAAGCAGACTTAAAATCAAGGCACATCTGTGCTCTGCAGCTTTATAGCTAAAAAGGGAGAAGATAACCTGATGTACACGTTTAAAGAAACAGCACTGCTCATTTCTTCGGGAGAAATAGATTCTGGTTCATTTCCAGAAAGCAAAACTGTGACCCAAATAAAGAAAAGACCTGAAGAACGATTGCGTAAAACATGGGAATATTAAGGTGGTCAGTGCTGTAGAAGAGAGGAGAATTCTACTGCGCCATCCTGCATTCTGGTTTTTGTTGCCCACTTAATTGGATTCCTGCAAGAAGAAT